GGGGGGGGCTGCAAACGTACCTGCCGAACTGTTGTACAAGCTGTCACTCCACTCTTTCTTTGTTTGTTTCCATGGTGGTTCATGCTATTTCCCCTAAACCCTTTCCCTCGCCGCTCGCGCGCGTCGTCGTCGCACCACTGCAGATGAGAAACCTCAATGTTAAAACACCTTCAAGTCTTTGGACCTTTCACCATGCCGTTCCATCGCCTTCCTTCTCAACGTGGGAACTGAGTGTAACTGAAAAACCAATGTCAGAGTGTGTGTGTGTGTGTGCGCGTGTGTGTGTGTGTGTGTTTAAATGTGTTTTATCTGTTTTTTTTCTCAGCGATGTGTTCAACTCTATCGTTCATAGAACTATGTCGGTGTGCCTGGGAATTGCTCGAACTGTTTGAAACACAGCACCCATCAAATGGTAGGTACAGTAACGTAGCTATATTAAAAAATATATGCCAAATGTTCACACAAAATATGTCGATGTGTGTTGAAGCTATCTTGTAAGGACATGATAGCGTGCAAGCTGGGGGGGCTTAAATCATTGGATGCTCCACCTCCTCCTCGTCTGGCCACAATGATGTTCAAGCCTAGTGCCCTAGGATGCCCTAGGCAATCCTCATAGAATCATTCAGAATAACTATAAGACCCTGTGACCCACACAGGTATGAAAGCTTCGTTGACCCTCCATTGAACACATGGAAATGACTGGAATGGACCTTTGTGCGAGAGCCAACTACGGGATGCCCAAGTCATCGCCTCCTTTCGCTTTGGCCTGGCATCACCACGACATCTGCCAGCTCCTTAGATACAAACCATCACTGGGAGGATAAACAACTGGCCAACGACGGGACATCTGACCATTGTTCGGCTGGTTCTCTCCATCAAACCTTATGCGTATTTTACAGTCATAGGGTCATACTGTTGATGGACACAATCCTGCACCACTTTGCGCACACTTTTCTTGCTGCCCTCGTTCTCCCTCGTTAAAATTGGGGCCACCACAGTGAGAAAACAAAAACAAGTTGAATGTCCAAAATCCTGCACCACCTCCTCAAAGGGGTTTCGCCAACATTGAATGCGGGGCGCGGGGGTTGCTATGCGACCCTTCCAGGGTAAAGTGGCAAGGTGGTGCAGGATTTTGTCCATCAACAGTAGGGAGACCCCTGGCCCACTGGGCTTCGACCTCCAGGGGTTTCGACCTCTGAGGTCACCCCCCCCACCTGAGGCCCTACTGTATGCCCGGCATGGCATGTCCCTGCATCCGGCATGGGTCCTGGACCCAACGATCGGCAGGACCCCGCAACGAAAAGCACATCCCCAAAGAGCCTGAGAAAACACCGCAACCAAAATGCACCATTTGGAGTACCAGTTGCTGGACACCACCGGAACAATGCTCCCGGTAGAATACCGCCTGCCGGACCCAAACGAGCTCAACAACGGAGCGGGAACGGAAGGGGATGGTGACGAGTCTCGAAGCTGCCCTTCGTCAAGGTCCCGGTCTTGTCAGTGCCCAAACGCTCCACATGTGCGAAGCAATCCAAGGCCCGGGCGTCCTGGGCTCGACGATGTGCTCTACTTAGTGCAAGTGCTACATACTGTGATCATATTGGATCATATTGGTATATATTAGACACGTGCTTCAAAGTTAAAGTCATGACCGCAGGCCTCTGGTGTCGCACAACGTGTTCAAAGTTCAACTTTTGGGCCCTACCGCAGGCCGACCGTTTTTCTATGTGTTTATCTCATCCAAGTCTTGGTTTACTCTCGGCCTTCGATTAATTAAACAGCTGAATACGTTTTGAATCTGTGGCTATCTGTGGCTATTTCCCGTGACTGTTCAAACATATTGAATACTTAATTAGGATAACACGACTACATGTAGGACAAAACTGGCATCCAACCAAATACTTAAGTCGTTCCTTGGTAGGTTATATTATGGTGTCCAACGGAGCTATATATGTACCATTAATAGTCGGAATGCCGCACCACGATGCACCTAGGGAGTTCTGGTCACCAACAAAGGGATGCCAAGTGCTTGGCCGGTCTGTTTCCGGCCCGGTCCTTCGGTCCACCACGAGCGCCCAAGACCCGCGGTCCTTGACCAGCACCTGAAGGTCCGAAAGCAGCCGCACAAAGGCGCAGGACTGCACCACTGGGGCAGCGGCCACCACCGCGCAGGGACACGCGGAGACCAAGACCTGAGGCGGTTGGGGGACACGCGTGGAGCTTGAGACGAAGGGGATGAGGTATGCAGGTGTTCGAGTGAAAAGAACCATTCAAAACAGCGGCACATGATGTAATGTTTGGTGTGTGCTTTTGCTAATGATTCTAATGATGATAAAAGGTTCCAACTCTATAATTAGAAGTTAACGAGCATCTGTAAGATAGATTTGCATTCAGGAAGAGTTTTGGCAGCTCTGACCTCATAGAATCATTGGTCAAACGAAAGAAGTTTTGGCGCTCACGAACAGGGCTCTAGATTCGAGCTGGTACTGTAGTGTTTGCAAAGCTTCCAAGAGCTTTGAGATGTTTCATTGGGAGTGCCAGTCGGATGACAATCCTGTAGCAGTCCCACCCCGCTGCATGCAAACAATAGACGCGGAGTCACAGTGCACGCGTTTGGCCTGGGAACTCCGCGCCCATTTCCCGAATTATTGAGCTATATATGTAATATATAAACCTGCCTTTTCATGGTTTCGGGGTTCATGAGCCAGGACGCCAGGGTGAGACACCAGGATGCCTAAATGCTCATTGTTATAGGTGAGACATCTGTAACCTGAATCAAAGGTGATGGTGTCCTATGGTGTAGCAGCACAGGTGGGACAAAAGAGGCCTCTGGATCAGGATCTCACTCGCTCCAAACCAAAACATGCATCCAACGCATTCCAACCCTCCGATGTGGTGAAATTGAACTCTCCTTGATTCATTGAGGGATCTATTCCCCCGGCCGGGTGCGACAACCGTTTTAGGGGCAATGACGCAACATGGATAAAGAAACAACTCTATGCCCCGCGACCCGTTGATGTTTACCAAACAAAAAACACTCCATGTAGGACCTACATCGACCCTGACATTACTTATATCCATGATATCCAAACTTTTAGGTCACAAACGCTCCCCAATTACGGCCTATTTGGGTCTGAAGAAGCCTAAGCCATGTGGTCCCCTTTTGCTCATTCCTCTTGCATCCTCTTGCCATACCTGGGCACTGTAAGGCCTTGTGTGAGGTCAGAGCTCCAAAGTGCAAGAGCCAGAGACAAAAGCACCACCACCGGGGTGTAGATCTCTGCGAAGCGGTTCACCAAATCCTCACGAAGTCAGAAAGCGTGGTTTTAGCAACGAACCCGGTGTCCGTCCCGCAATGGATCCTCTCCGCAACTGCATCTCCCAAGAGCTCTCTGTTGAAGAACACATGAATCCTTTTCAGACTTATACGCACCCTCTACCAAACCTTTGCCAACTTGGCAGCACTTTCTCATTTCGGACGCGGCCGCTTGCTCCTCCATCTCCGACCTGGAACTTTGAGCATCCTGAACAGCTGCCTGGGACAAAACACCACAGCGATGCACTCGAAATCCGATCGGGTAGGCCTGGGAAATGGCCGTCACTCGTACGACTGCAACACGTGTCATGAGACTATTCTACGGCCACCACCACCACCACCCTTTGGAAAATAAGTCTTTAAACCACCCTTTTGAGCTCAGTCTGTTCGACGTCTTTTCTGGTCGCTTTACACCGGTCTTTCCGGCCTGGATCTTGCCCTGGAAGGACTCCTTGGCACTGGAGGTGCACTCCATCTCCGCTACCCCCGCGGTCACCTCGGGGTCCCAAGACAGAAGAATCCGAAGGGGCTCGACACCTTGGCAGGGGTCGGACTCGACACCGAAACGCAGGGTTTTTTTTACCCGAACCAAACCCTATTTTTGAGGGCCCGCATCCTTAGGGAAGGACAATTCCAGACATGTGTCTACTTTCAGCATCTCCTAGAACCACGGGCGCCCGTCTGGAATCCCCCAGTCAGCACACGCCCTGCGTCCTCAAACCACGCATTTCAGAAGATCCAAACCATGTGCGCCGATGCGCGGCCAAGCCATGCTGCACCATCCTTCTGGTATGGCTCTCTCCACGAAACCAAGAGAGGTTAAGTGACCTTATAGGACCTTACTGGGGTACCCAACCGGGATAGTCTATAGGGTTCTTCAACCTCTGGTGGGGTTCTTCCACCAACGACGGTTCAAGGCGGGCCGAGTGGCCACGGTGCCACTCAAGAGCTTCTCACCTTTGAACTTCTCCACTGGTAAGGCCTCTCCAGTGACACTGGCCTCGTTCACCGTGAAGCCCTGTGCCTTGAGCAGCACACCATCTGTAGGCACAGTGTTGCCTTGGGGCGGTGGGCAGCGACGTCTGTTCCAAACAAGGACAGAAGCGACGAAACAAGCCCCTTCATTCATTCTATTCGCAACTTCGAAAACTAGATTACTAGATGTGCACCGGCAGATCCCAAACACACACTTCTGGAAAACATTGTCTCTTCCTCAACAAGATCGTCATTTTGTCATGTACTGTACTAAGTACTACGTTTTCTTGGTATCTTGTTTCCCTATCGATAACCCACAAGGCTTCACTTCGTTGCTTCACCCATCGCATCGCCCGCTCAGCGCAATTCTCCGACCCTCCATCTGCCGCCACCGGAGACTTCCGTCGTGGCCACGACGTGGCGGTCGGAACGACCGTGGCGGCCGGAACCTGTCTTCGAGGAACCGGTCTTGAGCAGCACCACATCTTTCGGTTTCAACTCCTCGATGAGCACGGAGCGTTGACTCCGCTCGGGCGCGGGCGTCAGCACCGTGGCGTGGCTCGCGGTGCCCACGAGGCCTCAGGTCTTGGGCAGCTGCTTTTGGGGGGGCCCAGGGCCAACACGACCTGACTGGCACTGGGCATCAAAAACAGATCACTTGGGGTAATTGAAAAGGTGTCAAATGCAGGCAACCCAAAAAAAGAATCCACAAGTACCCCAAAAAAGGGGTCATCACCTCATTTCAATGCTATGAATCAACAATCACCAACCCGTAGGGCCCAGCAGCATCATCGCCCACTCAGGCGGCCCGACCTTTCAGGGCCCCCGGCACCGTCCTCGTGCGGCCCGTCCCGACTCGTCCAGGGGGCTCTTGCCGAGCTCCCGCTCCACGGCCTGTTGGGACTTCCCCACGATCCACTCGGAGGCGTTCACCAGGAAGGCCACGGTGGCCGCTTCGGTGAACTGCTGCAGATACAACGAGCCCAGCAACACGAGGAACCTGACGACAGCCGGATATACGAAGAGGGTGGTGGAAGGGGTGGAAGGGGATGGGTGGATGGGCGGGGGAAGTGGAGGTCAGCAGTTGTGGAAGAAATGCTAGCTGCAGGGGGCTATGTTCCATCAGGTGAATCCTTTGTTCAAGGGTTGTGATGGCTTGAGAACCATCAGCTTCTGCACCCTGGAGTGTGTTCCTGTTGGAACCTCGTGGACTACTCAATCCCCCAAAACAATACAAGCCTCTTGGATCCTCACAAGGCAGAAATATCAGAATCTCTCTGGCATTCTTCCCATTGCTCTAAACTCTGCCCATTTCTGGAACCCCCAAACAAGCAAAGCACACATGCTTGTTCCAACATGACGATGTTCCACTGTTTCACACACATGCTGCATGCTTTTCGGCCAATTCCCAGGCAGTTTCAAGCAGTTCTTTCCGGTCTCCGGTCTCGAAGAAAACCATCCCAGCGACATCAGCACGTGCATGGAGATGCGCTTCGCCAGCATGGACAAGACCGCACGGCGAATCAATGAGTGAGCCAACAGCACCGTGACCTGCAGAGCACTGAGAAGGTGTCTCCCCTCCTCCGAGATTCACGGAAGTTTTTTTGTGCCATTTGGCTGCCCTTCTTTGAGAGGAACAACTAAAGGAACATAAACGCTAAGAACTTTACACTGTTGGAGGTCACATAGACCTACTTCCAATCTTTCAAACCATGCTTGCTCCGTGTTTAACACAAGCAGTGATATGCTCTAAATGAAGTATGGAAAGCACAAAACAATGCATTGGAAAGCGCAAAACTGAGGCGGATGGACAATGTATCAAAACAACTAGTCCAACAGACTACACTCCCAATGATGACCCTGTCTGGAATGGGATCCTGTTTCGGACCCATGCGTCAGACTACACCCAAAGGGCAGTTCCGAGAGGCCAAGGCCAAGGCATCAGCGACGTCTTGGAAGCCCCAAGTCCGGGAGCACAGCGCTAGGACAAACAGCACGCCTGCACACAGCATGCTGGGTCCACGCTGCACTGATGTCACACATGGCTGAAGTTCTCCGAAGGGTTTCGGACGGGGACCCCAGCAGCACGTCACCAAAATTCTGAGTTCCGACGGTTGGAGCAATGGTTTCACGCTTTTGGGTACCCTGATTTCACCAGATTGCTTCGCAGACTGAAGCGCTACTTCAAAAGCTTCAAAGGAGGACTGATGTGGCCACCCGAAAGATCTAAACAAGGCAAGGAAGAACCCTTCTTCATGAGGCACTATGTCTGTCCTACAGAAACGGACTGCCAACAAAAAGCTGCCCCTACTGTGTTTGAGTTGAGATATGTGTGTGTGCGCAGCTGTCAAAACATGCTAGTCATTCTGCTGACAGCTTGTATTATCACTGTTCAAGGTTCCAGAGTCCCAATCAAAAAGTAACGAACCCTACAATCTGTCTCAACCCGGAGGATTCTTTGTGGTTCGTCTTAGAAGCTCCCAAATGAAAGCCGTTGTTTCAACCAATTGCAAAGGCCTTCGACAAGTTCTTTGCTACGTAATGTTAGTGAGTTGTGGCTCTACACATGGAGAGGTGGCTAGGACTGGACTTGTGAGCCATCGCTCCAGGTATCGTTTGGTATCGGTTTGGGTATCGCTCTAAAAGCAACGTATTTCCAAAACATATGTACAACATATCATAGGGAGTTAGCATATTCCGGGAACAGGTATCGCTCTTCAGGGTTCGCTATCGCTACACACAGTGATTGCAGAGTGTTACAAAGTCAATGGTGGTTCACCTCCAAAACTCTTGGTAGAATGTTTTGGCCAATTATATATGTGTGAGTTGGGTGGTCCGCTCGTGAGAATGAGATCCCCACGCAAAGGTTTGGTTAAAAAGATATGTTTAAACACCTCTGTTGGGTCCAAGTGGTTCCTGTGCTGGAACACTCTCAACTCTGAGATCGGAGTCTGCGACAAGGCGTCCGCTGCAAGCTTGCCTTTAGGGCTCAAGTGATCCCGAGCCTCTTTTGGATCAGAACATCAATGAAATATCCGGATTGGGAAGATATGATGCTGAGAAATCGGGTGACCCCAAACCCCCGAGTAAATGGACCACATGAATTATCAAAAAACCCCTCGAATTCTATATGGCCATTTTGGGGTGCCACCCCCGCTTGAATTTGCTGTCCAGTAACCGGAACAAACCATAAAACATCGTTAGCATAATTAACTATTATATTCGCCAGAATGGGGATTCACCCATAGGACAAATGTCAACCACCTGATCCCCAAAAACCAGGCCCAGAACCAGACCCGTTTCAAGAGACCCTTGAGCCGTCTAAAACGCATGTGAAAAGGCTTGACATTGAAACCATGTCGCGCCTTGGACCATCAGCAAGACTCGGCACAAATTACCTGAAAACAGCATGTGCAAAATCAAGGAGTCCCCTGCAAAGGCATAGAGTTCTCCTTTGAATTTGTCCTATGACAGGATCCCCGAATTGACCAACATAACCAAACCTCCACGGTCCAAATCCAGTCTTGTTGGGTGAGCCACTTGCGTCACGGTATACCGCTTTACGAGACAAGGTTCGGGATGTAGATCAACATGTGCAGGTATGTGTGTGTGTGTGTCTTGCATTCTTGGTTCCAAATATATAATTCTGCAGAACATGTCAGCGGTGCTATACTTTGAATCAAGGACTCTTTCAACGTGGGAAACCCCTTAAACAGCACTGGCAGTTTCATAAATCAAGATTGATCAAGGCTATGACCTAACACATTGAAGGACTTTCGGCATGGTCTGCTGGTGGGTCAAATCTGCTTGGGTGGGTAACATGATCAAGCTCATGTTGACAAGCCTTTGGTCAAAGGAACATCGACTGTCGTGTCGCAGTTATTATATATAAGGTCTACCTTACCCCATCGAAGGGCAGGGTAAAAGGAACATCATCTAAAAGATCAATCTAAAAGCCCATTTGTTGGAGTTCCCAATACAAGTTCATTGGCTATGAACTTTGCGGCACGAAGAAAACTGTCCAAGACACTCTCTGCATTATTCAGTTCTTTGAAGATGTTGAATGATTCACCATCATCTTTCTTGACACCGCCAGATTGGAGAATTCCTCGAGGCATTCCACGGTCAGCCATTCACATCATTCACATCTTCTGTGCTTGCCAAAGACAAATATATATATATATATGTCAAGTCTTTCACTCACAAAGTGCCGATGCTTAACACCAGAGTGCTCATGGATGCTCATGGCTTCAAAGAGCTTGGTGATCCCAAAACACCAATTACTGCGACTAAATACCGTAAATACCGGAGACCTCAGCAGTTTCATGCTCTCTAGTTAGTCCAAGCGTCGCGCGCCAAGCATCAATCGATTCATAGCCTCCACCAAACCTTTGGGTTCCACAGGCACACGTAGGCAGAAACACACAGTCATTCTCCCCACCAAAACAATGACGACATGATCTGAACATGATTGTTTCATTCCGGTGGCAGGTTCGGGGAAAACCACCATGCAAAAACAAGGTCCCTGGCTGGGAATTTCCAGTGAACATTGGGATCCACTGGGCCAGTTTCCGACCAAAGAAACTCTTATGCGGCATGTCCCACCACGCCTTTCACCTCAAAGACCGGAACCCCGGAAGGAAACACAGTGTTCTGCATTATGGGATCTGCTCAGTGCGGGGCTCTGTGGCAACGGCCCAGTAGCCCTGGTCAAGTCAAGACAAACTTATGGGATCTGCTCAGTGTACGACCAGAGTGGATGAACACCATGATATCCATATTGGTGCTGAAAGGTCCTCATAGAGATTTGGAACCCAAAACAGAAGCCGATAGGGAGCTGTCTCAGATTAGAGAGGCCCCTAGTTTTGACCGTCCAACAGCCCAGAAGAAGTGTGGAGATAGGAATCCATCCCAGCGGCTATCCGGCTTCACTTTGGACAAATGCGTGACCACCGCCGTCTTGGTTCCAGGATTGGTTTTCACCTGGCAAGAGTAGTTCACTGTCAGAAAACGACCTCCAACAGCATGAAGGAACGGTTCGTTTGGCTGATTGGTGCGGTCGTTCGGTGTGGACCGCTCTTCAAGATTTCCAGGCAATGAATCGCCAGTCGAAGGTAAGAATAATCCCGGAACTCCACACAGGTCACGAAAGACACAAAAGCATCAAACAAACAAAACTGATCCAAGTGTCGGCGCTCTTGGAAATGCCAAGGCTTTCTACAGCTTTCTCAACCAGTCGTATCTCCTTGGCTGGTCGGCAGTGTCCACTTCATTGAGAAATACATCTTGTCAATTTGTCAAAAGGGTTCCCTTTTGCCCGTTTTGAAGAGGTGTGACTACTGCATCAGTTCACCGTGCTATAAACACCGGTGTGCATGTTTTGCAGTGCTAGCTGTTGACATGCACATGTGTCTGAATCATCCCAACGGAACACTGGACATCGCTACTAGTAACAAGTGCCTTACTACTAGGAACAAGTGCATCGCTTCTAGTAACAAGTGCCTTACTAGGACATGTTCAGAGATGTGCGCATTTTTGGATTTGGGAATCAGGCACCGTCTATCCAGCAGCATCTGGTACAGACTCTCTCTTCCTGCAGGTCTTCTCATCAACTTGGTACCCTGAAACGGCCAGGGCCTACAAGACTGCTTTTCCACACGTTCAAGAGGTGCCGAGCTTCAGAATTTCAGCAAAGGTTATCCACCTTGGCCCGGCGCCACTGGAAATGCATCAGTGGTTGACATCCTTGTTTAATGAGAGGACGCCTCTTCCAATACATATTCATCCACATCATGCGCCTGAGCAAACATGAGCAAAAAACAAGGTTGCTTCTGTTTTTTGGGGCCCGTAGGCGTCTACATAATTCAGTAAGGGGGACGCAGGATAGCTCATGTTTCTTCAAGGAAGCTCCCCCCGCCTGAGGGCGGGGGAGGCTTCCTTGAAGAAGCGCTCACACTATTCATTTGATATCATTTGGTTCCTAGATTTTCAAGGTTATGAGGGCAATGATTCTTCACAGAAGGTGCGGATGCTGAATGCTCAGCTCATCCGTGGTTTTTATAATTCCAGTAGTGCCTTTGAAAAACAAACCCACTGCTCCATGGCACACGGATCATTTTGGAACACGCAAAACGGATCATTTTGGAGCACAGACTCAGCAAAAAGTCTCCAAAACTGTAGTCTTATAGCATTTTGCGGGTCATTTTGGAACACAGACCGATTACAACTAGCCCAAGGTAGCACACTTCGGCTCTTTTTTCCACAAAAATCACCAATCTGGCAGCGGAGCAATCAGGCTTCTTCAGGGTCCCTTTGGGTTTGACTTAGGGATTCACTTCTTTAGGGTTTCTGTTGTTTTTGCTTAGGGCTTTGCTTCGTTAGGGTCTCTTTGGGTTTGACTGAGGGCTTCACTTCTTTAGGGTCTCTTTTGGTTTGACCTTCGATGGGGAAAAAACCTCAATTGAACCCAAAAAGTCTCAGGGCAGTCCCATTCTTCCGGCTTTTGCACAGGCCGGCTGGACAACGACTTCTTGTAGTACTCCATGGTTGTCGAAGTTAGAAATATGTGCATACACTGGAGCCTCAGGACGTCCTTGTTCAGTCCCTAAAGTAGACTCTTCACCAGGTGGCGTAAAGAGTTGCACATCCCAAACCCGCGTACCAGATCTAGAAAACACGCTAGGTTACTCTATCTTGGGATGCTCATCCGCCCTGGTCCATGTAGCTTTTTCTCCGTCTCCGCATGCTATGAGGATGGAACCAAAGAGTGACTCCCTCATGGACATGGTTTGCCCTGAAATTCCCACCTGATCTTTTATTCCTAAATCTTCCACCGCTTCGGTCTTCCAACCAAAGTCTCCCCTCTATCCCACCTATCTACCACCCAAGTCTCCACCCCAAACGCCCAGCGTCTCATCTCTCTCCTTTTGCCCAGCGTCTCCCAACACGGTCACCTCAAAACGGCAGCAGGGCCGTGCGCAGCGGCCGTCTGGCGAGGCGTCGTGTTCGCCCAAGGTGCGGCACTCCTCCGGATACCAGGCGAGACCCCCAAGCAGAAGAGGTGTTGGGGTCGCCATGAATGAGCACACACATATATATATATGGGCGCGCGTGCTTTTCGGGGCCCCCTGAGAAGTAATGGATAAGATATAATACCATGAAACGCGCCCATATATGTATATATGCATATACTTCCACAAAAACATTGCACATAGACTGCATGAAATCTTTCATACGCCATACGCCCAGGTTCATGCCAGAGGAGGTTCATGCTATCTACAAGCGCAAAGCTGCATTGACATTCTGCATGGCGGATTTAATCATTTGCAGACAACCGCCCATGTCTTCAAGGTGGTGCACTTCTTGTAAGTTCTTCAGATGTGTCAATGCAGCCTGCAGTTCTACCTTGCGGCGCTTAGTACGGTCAGAGGACGAGGAAGAGGAGGTAGAAGACGAAGAAGATGAAGATGAGACCTTGGCCTTGCCATCCTTGGGGGTTGTCTCCTTGACGCAATCCTCGTCCATCATATTGTCATCATTTGGCTGTGAGTCCAGGGCTTCTGAGTGATGGTCCTCAAAGATGTTGGCATCCTCATCCTTTGGCTGTGAGTCCAGGGCTTCTGAGCTCTCAACGATGTTGCCAACGGCTTTTGAGCAGGAACTTTCAGCAGGTGGTTTGTCCTCCAATGCCAACATATTCCTTTTCTGCACGCCCTTCAAATCTTTCAAGAGCCACGTGTCGAGAACATCTTGCGCTTGACGAGACCACTGGCCAGAAATGCCAGGAGCTAAATTCAAGCTTCTTTGGACATAGTGAATATGCGCTTGAATCTGTCTCGGTGTTCGTTGTTGTTTTGACTCACACGCTGCTTTGCGGCCACTGACGATGTCCTGGTGGAGTTCATGTGCGTTGGGCACAGGCACTGACGGCTCAGCATCAGTAGTTGGGTCTGGGCGGTAGATGACAGGGTCCACCGTCTGCAGATCCAACGAAAACCGCCCAGGTTCTACTTCAGAACCCATAGCCACAAACATCACCTTCTTGGGCGCCATGATGACACTGATACAGACTTGAGCTGGAGCCAGTCACTATCAAGGTAACTTCATCGATGAAGAAGTGGTGTGTTTATAAACAGTAGTCAGTGTTTATAAACATGCAAACTGCCAAAGTAAACAAGAGTAATCAAATACAGATACCACCTGCAAAAAGCTATATGCTTGTTGTCAAATGACATTGAAGTAATCATGCAAGCAAACACATACAGAAACCACTACAAGAACATACCTTGCAGATGCAGACGCTAAAGACATGACATTTTTTGCGTAAAGCTACTGCAGCAGATTGCATTGCAATCTATACCCATACCGTTGGTCAGACAGAGTACACAGATGAACGCTAAGGTGATGACAAAACAAATGCATTCAGCATTGATTGAAATGAGTTGCCAATGTTGACTCTGAACGTGTACTCGTACAGATCCCCTACATCTACTTCGTCTTCTGCTTCATTTGAAGCTGTGGACTGGAAGCATAACCTACCATAGCGCTCTCTCACCATGGTCTTGAGACGGGAAAACTCGGACTCAATATCGTTCGAATGGAATCCAGTATTGGCATCTCTCCAACCAGTCGAGTGGTTGATGGACGGAGCCGCCTTCAGCCCAAGACTTTTGATGGCAGCAGTAGATGCTTTCCAAGCGTCGTGCACGAGAAACGCCTGCTTGGCAATGCACGATTGGATAGCAATCTTCATAGAAGCAGTGCCCCGCGATTTGTGATCCGCAGCAAAAGCAGGCTTTGGCAAGAGGGTAAAGGAAAACCGTTTTTTTCCGTTCTCATGTGTGTATTTTGTTTTCTTATTTCCAACAAGAACCGCTGCAAAGAGCCATCGGCCCTGGGAGCGGGTGTCCCTCTCTGTGCCCACCTTGTTCTTGTTGAAGACAGATTTCATGACTGCGGCAGGCCGGCGAAGTGGGGCGGCAGCCGGCCGACGCGCAGGCGCAGCAGCAGGCCGGCGCAAATGAGCAGCTGGACGCCGGTGAACGGTTTGTGCTGGAAGTCTCTTTGCCACACGTTGCGAAGTCACGGCCTTTGTTCTCTCTGAACTACGACCAGATGATGATGACTTCGAAATGCCCCGTTGACTGCCCAAGTTTGTCTCATCAAAGACCACAACATCTCCAGGAGTAGCACCAATGATCATGCTGCTGTGGTGCAAGAGGTAATTCTGCAAAGAGGACTGGTATAATGTCCGCCATCGGCGCATGGTCTTGTCAGAGAAGCTATTCCCAAAGATAGACTGAAGCTCGGATTGAATTTTGTTCCACCTGTAGTTTAGCCGCATTGCGTTGGAGAAGTACAAGAAAGGCAACCACATGGAGCAAGACACTTGGGACAGAAGACCTGCAGGACAAAGGGAAGAACGAAAGCATTTGTGACCTCGTTGACAGCAACGCCATCTATAACGTAGTTCTTCATCTTCCCATTCCTCCACCAACTTCACCGAGTGCTTCTTGTTGTTTGGGCAAACCTTGACATCAGGAATCAACCCAAGAGACAAAGCAATCAGAATGCCCCGTAGTGAAGTACAATCAGTGAGTTCATTCTCTGAGCACAATGGAGGCCCCAGCGCATGTAAAGTCAAAGCTGGAGATGACGCAAACCAACCTTCACAAACTTCACTTCGGTATTCTGCATGAGTCAGCGGCCGAAACAGACCTGCAGAGCTTTGTTGGGCAGGCCTCCTTCGAACGGATCTGGAAAGCATTTTGCGCAGATACGACAACTACCAAGGCAGTGCTCGAGATGCTACTTCGCGTGAGATATACAAAGAATGAAAATGCAAGAACGACAGGCAAGGGAGGATATTCTTGTGAACACAGTTTACAAGCAAGTGACATCTGATTGTAAGTGACATCTGCAGCACAGCTTACAATCATGGATCAAATGAACTGTGTCTGAAAGTGCACATCGCTCTATGAACACAAGTCAAAGCTGTCAGGAAGCAATACAATTTTCAATCTTTTTCATAACGCGTCCTCTCTCTGTACATAGGCAAGACTAAGCAGGAGCCTCAAAACCACCACCGAATCCAAATACATCTTCTTCTTCTTCGCCCATAGGGTCTGGCGCTGCCACAGGGGCAATGTCGATGGCATCGGTCTCATGTTGTTGTTCTCTTCACCTTCAGCGTCAATGACACCAAAGGCTGTTCGTGCACGCTTTGTCGCTGGTGAGATGATTTCTTCCTTCAAAGCAATTGGCGAAGGACGAGGAGATGCAGGAGCCTCTGGCTCAACAGGAGCTGCTTCCCTTCTCCATTGGTCATGCTTCTCAGCTCTTTCCATATATGCTTTTTCCTCTGGCGTTGCCAACAGCTTTGCAACAAGGGCAGCCTCTTCGTCCAGCTGACTGTCGTAGTTGGCATACTTCTGATGCACTCCCTGCTTGTAAGAGCCATACGAAGATTTGTTTTTGTCGCAGAGCCAATCCTCTGTGATCCCATCACCAGAGAAGCGGTAAATAGTCTCTGACTCATTTTGGCTTGGCAAACGCAAGTACACCGCCCTGCGACCAGCAATGATGACAGCAGCACGCTTCAAAATAGCCATCATGTGAGGATGCTTGGCATACTGGATGGCGACAGCAAACATGCCCTGGAACTGCTCCCAGGTGATGGTATCACCCAAAGAAAGATCTGGCTCTTTGGTTTCATCCCATTCGTTGTTCAGGATCACCCGGCATTGGTTGCGTACAAATTTGGCAGGCTTGTAGCGGGCATCTACTAAGCAAGTCTCACCAACGTCTAAGAAAGACTTGATGTCTTCAAAGTTGATAGCACTGAGGTTTGGGTCATCCAGCAAGACAGGCACATTGACCTCACCCGGCCGCTCGCGAAACCCGTCAATTTGCTTTGATCGCCGCCAGCCAGCCATGCCAGAAAGACCACGAACAGAAATAAGATGACGAGCTACTGCCAAGGTCATAATTTGTGCAGTTGGAGTTTTGCCAATGCCGGCTCGCCCAAGGACCATCAAGCCAAAGTTGGGAAGATAAGGAAGCACCAGGGGCACCACAGATTTCAGAAACTTGGGGTTCAGGTCAAAGAGCAGCAAAGGAAAGAACCATTCCGGTTCAGACTGGCAGTTGCCAGATGACCGGTTTGCGCATGCTTTCTGGACTACTGCAGATGGCCAACCGTAGAGCGGCGATGCCTCATCACGAATGTTCAGCAATACCCAAAGATATTGCTCATTGTGAGCGTTGGCCAGAGGAGCATGTTCATTGATGTAGGCTATTCCACAGCGAAGCTCTTCTTCATCTGGATTCCAAGTCTTGTTGTCTCCATCCTTGGAAGTATGCCGTTGAATCTGTGGCTTGTCCACTACTTCTTGTGTTAGCCACTGGTCTCCTGGAATCTTGCTCAACATCTTCATGAAGCCCTTCTTGACGACATCAGAATTAGAGCAAATCTTGTAGTCGATGGTGAGGACGTTATTGTTGCAAAGAGTTTTGGCCAAGCCCATTGGAATTGACACCGTAGAGTGGTAGAACTTGAGGACTGTCCAGGAAGCGTGAGCAGATTTTTCCAAAACTAATTGAAGTACACAAGAGTCACCAAGAGCATCACGTGGACGGACAGATGCAGGTAGATGAGCATATTTTGGTGATGCCTCACTCATCACTGAACGAATAGCAGCCACATCCACATCAGACACATTGCGGATGACCTGAAAGAACTCCTTGAAGGACTTTTTGGATTTGGGCTCCACTTTGATCAGAGGTAGTTGATCAATGGACACTGTGCCATCCGAAACTTTTGTGTGCTTGTGTGTTTGCATGTACTTCATATATGCGTTGTTACCTTCCATCATGGCAGCTTCCATGGCACAAGATTGGAGGTAAGAAGCAGTTGCTGACAAACTAGTTCGAGCAAATATACTGAAGAAACCAATGTTTATAAACAACCATTTTGTTTATAAACAACTCCTTTCTTCAG